CTGTCTCCCTGCTCTCTTGATGGTTTCTTTGACTTTGCAGAAACTTGTCAGTTTAATGAGGTCCCACTTGTCTATCTTATCTCTTATGGCTTATGGGTTTCAGGTTTTATTCAGGAATTGGATGTCAGTTCCAATTTCCATGAGGGTATGTGCTTCATTTTCTAAGGTTCTTATGGTCTGAGGTTTTACATTTAGGTCTCTGATCCATTTAGAGTTAATTTTTGTGTATGGGGATACATAGGGGTCCTGTTTCAATCTTCTGCATGTGGTCAGCCAGTTTTCCCAGCACCATTTACTGAGTAGGTTCTCCTCTCCCCAGTGGTAGGTGGTAGAGGCTTTGTCGAAGATGAGTTGGTTGAGAAATTGAGGATTTGCTTCTGGAATATCAATTCTATTCCATTGGTCTATTTGCCTGTTCCTGTACCAGTACCAAGCTGCTTTGATTATTGTAGCTTTATAGTAAAGTTTGAAGTCTGGTAATGTGTTACCGCCTGCTTTCTGTTTTTTGCTGAGGATTGTTCTGGCTATTCTTGATCATTTGTGTTTCCATATAAATTCCTGTGTTGTGTTTTCTAGGTCTGAGAAGAATGTTGCTGGTAATTTGATGGGTATTGCATTAAATATGTAGATTGCCTTAGGTAGGATGGACATCTTCACAAAGTTGATTCTTCCATTCCATAAGCATGGGATATTTTTCCACTTGTTTATGTCATCTTCAATTTCTTTGAGCATTGTTTTGTAGTTTTCATTGTAAAGGTCTTTCACGTTTCTGGTTAGGAAGATGCCAAGGTATTTCATTTTTTGGTGGCTATTGTGAATGGAATTGTGCTTTTTATTTGGGTTTCTGTTTGTTTATTATTGGTGTAAAGAATTGCGATTGTCTTTTGCACATTTATTTTATATCCTGAGACTTTGCCAAAGTCCTTTATCAGTGTAAGGAGTTTTTTGACAGATTCTCTTGGGTTTTCAAGGTGCACAATCATGTCATCTACAAAGAGAGATAGCTTGACTTCCTCTTTTCCTATTTGAATACCCCTGATCGCCTTCTCGTTTCTGATTGCTGTAGTCAGGACTTCCAATAGCATATTGAACAGGAGGGGTGAGAGTGGGCATCCTTGTCTTGTTCAAGTTTTCAGGGGAAATGGTTCCAATTTTTGTCCATTTAGGAGTATGCTGGCTGTGGGTTTTTCGTAGATGGCTTTTACTATTTTGAGGTATGTTCCCCGTATGCCTAGATGTTTGATGGTTTTTATCAAGAAGGGGTGCTGGATTTTATCAAAAGGTTTTTCTGCGTCTAATGATATAATCATGTGGTCTTTGTTTTGACATATGTTGATGTATTTAATTACATTTATGGTTTTATGAATGTTGAACCAGCCTTACATCTCAGGGATGAAGCCTACTTGGTCATGATGGATGGTTTTTGAGATGTGTTGTTGAATCTGGTTCGCTAGGATCTTGTGGAAAAGTTTAGCATCTATGTTCATCAAAGATGTCGGCCTGTAGTTCTCTTTCTTTGTTGGGTATTTAACTGGCTTGGGTATCAGTGTGATGTTAGCTTCGTAAAATGATTTGGGGAGAATTCCATATTTCTCAATCACCTGGAATACCTTCAATAGGATTGGTATAAGCTCCTCCTTAAATGTCTTGTAGAATTCTGCTGGAAAGCCATGTGGTCCAGGGCTTTTTTTGTTGGTAGTTTTCTTATTACGTAGTTAATTTCCTTGATTGTTATTGGTCTATAGGTTCTCAATTTCTTCTTGTTTCAACCTAGGCAGGTTGTGTGATGACAGAAAGTCCTCCATTTCCAAAAGGTTTTCAAGTTTGTTTGAGATTAAGATTGCGAGTCCTCCTTTCTTTGTATTCCATTCGCCTGAAAATTTGTTTCTCATCCTCTTACTTTTAGTCTGTGAGTGTCCTTTCTACTGAGGTGGATCTCTTGAAGGCAATAGATTATTGCCTGGTGATAATTTATACATTTTGCCATTCTATGTCTTTTCATTGGTGCATTTAGTCCATTCACATTCAAACTAATTATTGAAATGTGAGAGTTGATCCCTGTCATAAGGTTCTTACAGAGTTGTTGTTCTTCCTGTTTGTGTGTTGTCTTTCTTTTGGTTTTAGAGTTGGATCATGTGTGTTTTTATTCTTTTGCCTGTACTCTTGTGAAGAATGTTGTTGTTCTTTTTTCCTTTTCTTCTGTGCTCAA